TCAGCCTTCTGAGTAGCCGGAATTACAGGCGCGCGCTATCACGCCCGGCTAATTTTTTTTTATTTATTGTAGAGATGAGGTCTCGCCTGCCCAGTTGGGTCTCAAACCCGTGGGCTCAGGCAATCCACTCTCCTCAGCCTCCCAAAGGCACAGGATTACAGGCTGAGCCACCGAACCCGGCTACTTTTTTTTTTATTTGGGGTCTTAGTCTGTCACCCAGACTGGAGTGCAATGGCATGATCGTGGCTCACCGCAGCCTCAACCTCCTGGACTCAGGCGATCCTTCCACCTCAGCCTCCCAAATAGCTGGGACTACAAGTGTGTGCCACCATGGCTAATTTTTTTTATTTTTTTGTAGAGACGAAGTCTCTGTTGCCTAGACCGGTCTCGAATTCCTCGGCTCAAACTATTTTCTTGTCTTGGCCTCCCTAAGTGCTGGGATTCCAGGCGGGAGTCACTGCTCCTGGCCTTCATTACTTATTTCTTAATGGGCCAACAGCTAACTGCAGGTAGTAAACCTTTGTCTACTAGTTGTAAAAGTCAGAAGGCAACATGATGTGTGAACAGAGTCAACTTGCCCAGCTACTAGAGGACACCTTTTAGTCTAGGGGACTGCTACTTTACCCACTGCTGCTTCTAATATTTGTTGACTGTGAACTTTGGGCTTAAACGGGGTTCATGAGCAAGGAGAGATTTTTACCTCATTAGAGGCTTCTGTCAGTATTTGGGGTCACAGATTCCTCTGCTCTGGTTCCCTTCAATCTGATCCTACTTGCTTCTCTTCCAAAAGTTTTGTAAGATTTCTGATCCCTTCATAGCTCCCTTTTTACTCCTATGGGTTTATGTTCTTCTAACATATATTTTGGCCACCTTGACTGGAAGGAAAGTAGTGCTGTGTACGCTGCCTACCATCTTCAGCTGGAAACCTTGAAAGACTTTGTTTTAGTCATCATGCCTTCTCCTCCTTATGGTTGTTGAAATTATTGGTGTGGTGGTTCACGCCTATAATCCCAGCACTTTGGGAAGTGGAAGTGAGAGGATTCCCTGAGTCCAAGGGTTTGAGACCAGCCTGGGCAACTTGGTGAGGCTTCATCTCTATAATAAATTTAAAAAATCAGCCAGGAGTGATGGCCACTGTACTCCAGCCTGGGTGACAGAGTAAGACTCCTACTCAAAAAAAGAAAAAAAATGGTGACATGGTTTAGGTCAGGAATCACAGCGTCTCAGAAAAGCATATCCTCACTTTTGCTAAGTTCTGTGTTATGCAAGTGACTAATCATAGGAGGAATTTACATTTCCTGTGTAACTTTGGAAGTCAAAATGTTCTTCACCCACATGGGTATTCCTGATTATGTCCTGAGAACATGAATTTGTGACTTGGTACCAACTCCTAGAATATAGCTTTTTAAAAATTTTTCCATCACTTAAAGATAGAAGAATGAGAGAAGCCTATTTATTTTCCGTAGTAGTTGGACAAGATGTTAAGATCAGATCTCTAGTGATTAAAACAAAACAACACAGATCTCATCCTCTAGACTCTTGGCTTTTGCCTAAAAATGATTCATAGAACTGAAGTGTTACTAATCTTTAAACAATACTTGAGGGATATGATTTTCCAACACCCTTAATACATTTGACAATAGAACAACACAAAACATATACTCTTAAGTGTTTTGTGTTCTTTTTTGCAAAGGACTGTCAGCTAAGTGGATTATTTAAGAGTAGAGTGTTCCAAAAAAGAAGAAAATAGTCTCTTAATTCAAAAAAGTTGCTATTTAAAATATGTGGGCTACAACATTTTACATGTGTGTTTACTTTTCATAAATTTTTATAAGTGCTGTCTAAAGGAGAAAAGAGTGGAATTCTTAGCAATGTCTTTCTGTTTGAATAATTGGCTAATCCCTAAAGTTAATATCCTAAAGTATAATCTCTTAGATTTAATGGAAAATTGGTCCTATCACTTCTACAACAGGGAATTTTTTTTTTTGAGTCAGGATCTCACTGTTTCAGTGACACAATCATGGCTCATGGCAGCCTCGACCTCCTGGGCTCAGGCAATCCTTCCACCTCAGCCTCCAGAGTAGCTGGCACTGCAGGCGCGTTACCACACCCAGCAAATTTTTATATTATTTTGGAGACAAGGTCTCATTATATTGTCCAGGCTGGTCTCGAACTGCTGGGCTCAAGCAATTCTCCCACCTCAGCCTCCCAGAGTGTGAGCTTTCGCACCCAGTCAGAATTTTTTTTTTTTGAGTTGGAGTCTTACTCTGTCGCCTAGGCTAGAGGGCAGTGGCATGCTCCCAGCCACTGCAGCCTCGACCTGCTGGGCTCCAGTGATCCTTCTGCCTTAGCCTTCCAAGTAGCCGGAACTACATGTGCCCACTACCACACCTGGCTAATTTTTGATTTATTGTAGAGATGAGGGCTCACCAAGTTGCCCAGGTGGGTCTCGAACCCACGGGCTCAGGCAATCCACTCACCTTGGCCTCCCAAAGCACGGGATTACAGGCTGAGCCACCGAGCCTGGCCAGAATTTTTTAATTATCAAAGAAAGCGTCGCTTTCCTGAAACGCTTTGGCCGGGTTTATCCTGGAAATGTGTTTATCCTGCTATGCTTTGAGCACAAGCAAAATTGCTTCTACTTTCTACCTATTGTTCAATCAAGATTATGGATCCTTCTACCAAGATGAAACCCCACTGTGTCAAAAAGTCAGAAGGTTAGGAGACAAAGTATTTCTGACAAATTATGCTATGGAAGACATTTCCCTGTTTTTCTCCTAAACAGTATTTTTGCTCTAATTGTTTAAACGTACATACTTTTGGCCATACCTTTTCTATACTTCACCACATTTCATGTTCACAAAAGGCTAGGAGGTTGAAATTACCCACATGAATTAACGGACCCAAGGTCACAATTACTAATAAGAAGTGGAGGCATGATTTTAATCCGGGCGTGAGCTTGTTTACAGGCTGTTCTGCCTTCACTTAAGTGTTTCAAATGTTCACTATGAGTGACCTTGAGCTATTATGCTTGTGGTTGTTTAAAGAGACAGTGTACCTAGATGTTTCTCTCAGTACAGTGTGAGATATGAATTCTCCAAGCTTGCTGTACTTTATTAAATTAAATTCATTTATCCTAGGTAAATACCTTAGATGGCTACTTCTCTAATGTTAAATATGAAGCAGACTGAATTAGAGCCCCACAGCTATGCCAGAGTTGACCAGCCTGTTATCTGTGCCCAGACAGCCTAACTTTCTCAGTTAAAAATGAGACCATTAACCTGGGCAACATAGTGTGACCCTGACTCCACCAACAGCAACAAAAAATAAGCCGGACAAGGTGGCACATGCATGTAGTCCTAGCTGCTCATGAAGCTGACGTGTAAGAATCGCCTGAGCCCAGGAGGTTGAGGCTGTGGTGAGCCATGATTAAGCCACTTCACTTCAGACTGGGTGACAGAGTACAGCGGGAGACTGTCTCTGTTTATTAAAAAAAAAAAAGACTGGATGTGGTGGCTCAGCCTGTAATCCCAGCACTTTGGGAGGTAGAGGTGAAAGGATTGCCTGAGCCCTGGAGTTTGAGACCAGCCTGGGCAACTTGGTGAGACCTTGTCTTTACAATAAATCACAAAAACTAGCCGGGTGTGGTGGCATGCGTTTGTAGTTCCAGCTACTTGGAAGGGTGAGGCGGAAAGATCGCCTAAACCCAGCAAGTCGAGGCTGCGGTGGCCATGAGCGTTCCACTGCACTCCAGCCTGGGTGACAAAGAGTGATTCATAAAATTGAAGTGTTGCTCCAACACAAAAAAAAGAAAGGAAGATAGTTACTCAATGTGCTGATTTTTTATAAGGAGCTATTGGTATGAATGATAATATGTTCAAGTCTTTCTTCTTTTTCTTCAAATTTTTTTCAGGGAAGGTTGGACAAGGTTCCCCTGGGGTGCATTTCAGTGGACTAATTGAAGATGATGTGAGTCTTCTTGCTGCTGCTCTGAGGATTCAGGTTTGTTTGACACAGCTTTTTGAGAGGTTTGAGTTTAGAGGCCTGATTAATAGTTGCTTACATTTTGCAGGTGTTCTGTTTACCAGATACAGTGTAAGACACTTTATACACGGAGTGTCGAGCTCATTTGATACATGAGAAAATGATAAAACAGAAAAGTGACTTGCCTGTGATCACCTGCCATGTATGGGGCAGGGACCCAAATCAGGGTCTGTGTATTAGTTATCTAGTGCTGTGCAATAAATGACCTCTAAAATTTAGCCACTTAGGGCCACAAACATTTCTTTTTCATTCTGTCGCCCAGGCTTGAGTGCAGTGGCACCCGCTCATGGCCACTGCAGACTTGATCTGCTAGGCTCAGGTGATCCTTCCGCCTCAGCCTTCCAAGTAACTGGAACCACAGGCATGTGCCATCATGCCCAGCTAATTTTTTGATTTATTGTAGAGACGAAGTCTCACCAAGTTGCCCGGGCTGGTCTCAAACCCCTGGGCTCAGGCAATCCTCTCACCTTTGCCTCCCAAAGTGCTGGGATTACAGACGTGAGCCACCATGCCTGCCCACAAACATTTGTTATCTCACAGTTTCTGTGAGTCAGAGATTTGGCAATAGATCAGCAGGTTTGGTGGTTCTGGCTCAGGATTTGATCCATTTCCAAGATGATGCACTCCTGTGACTGCTTGCATGTGATGGTTAATTCCTCACGGGCTTTTGGCAGAATAGTTTAGTTCCTCATCATGTAGACCTTTCCATAGGGTTGCTCACAGTGTGGCAGCTAACTGCCCCTAGAATGAGCCATCCAAGGGAGAAAGCAAGGAGGAAACCGCGGCATGATTCATGACATAGTCTTCAAAACCACACACTGCCACTGCCTTCTTTCCTGTGTGTTAGAAGCGAGTTGCTTAGTTTACATTCAAGGGAAAAAGAACTGGTTCACCTCTTGAAGACAGGATTATTAAAATATTTGTTAACCTGGTGTGGTGGCTCATACCTGTAGTCCCAACACTTTGGGAGGCCAAGGCAGGAGGATTCCTTGAGGCCAAGAGTTCGAGACCAGCCTGGACAGCAAGGCAAGACCCCTGTCTCTACAAATAATTGAGAAATTAGCTGGACATGGTGGCACCCACCTATAGCGCCAGCTACTCAAGAGGCTGAGGCAGGAGGATCACTTGTGCCCAGAAGGTCGAGGCTGCAGTAAGCAATGATTACACCACTGCACTCCAGCCTGGGAAACAGAGCGAGACCCTCTCTGGGAAAAAAAGTATGTATTATTTGTAGACAATTTTTTTTTTTTTTTGAGTAGGAGTCTCACTGTGTCACCCAGGCTGGGGAGCAGTGGCACGCTTAGGGCCACCACATCTTCGACCTGCCTGGACTCAGGTGATCCTTCTGCCACAGCCTTCCAAGTAGCCAGAGCTACAGGCACATGCTACCATGCTTGGCTAATTTTTTGATTTATTGTAGAGATGAGGCCTCACCAAGTTGCCCAAGCTGATCTCGAACCCCTGAGCTCAGTCAATCCACTTGGCTTCCACCTCTCAAAGTGCTGGAATGACAGGCATAAGCCACTGCACCCGGCCTGGTCTTGTATTTTCCTCATTCTTCTTGTCTAATTGAAATAAAGAGACTACCCAGGATAATTTGATCTGTGTACACGATGACTTTTGTGAACACGGAAGCTATTCATTTTTAAAATTGATTAATTAATTAATTAACGACAAAGTCTTGCTCTGTCGCCCAGGCTGGAGTGTGGTGACACCATCATAGCTCACAGCAGCCTCAAACTCCTGGCCTCAAGAGATTGTCCTGCCTCCACTTCACTGGTACCTGGGATTACAGGCACATGCCACCATGCCCGGCTTATTTTAATAGTGTTTTTAGCTTACATTTTCCCTTTTAAGAAAACCTACAAGCCTAATTACATGTGAATGAAATTATTTCTGATATTTCCATGCATTTCCATGTGGCTTTACCATCCTTTCCATCTCCTAACATCTGCGAGCCATACTTTCTTGGTGGAAGGCCATCCCCCACGAGCGTGTGCATTTGTAACGCAAACTTTCCCCTCTCTCCCTGCTGAAGAACATGGTGAGCAGTGGCAGGAGATGGCTTCGTGAACAGCAACACAGGCGGTGGCGACTCCACTGCTTGAAGCTTCAGCCTCTCTCCCCGGTGCCAAGGTAATTGGTGGCGTTTCTCCGGGTGTCTTAGGAATCCAGTTAGTCATGGGTGGGGGCACAGCTCATGTTGCTATGTTTTTGGTGTAAGTAATTTTCTCCCATCATTAAATCACCACCCTGTTTTCTCTACCATGAATCTTCTGAAATTGAATCATAATGAACATGCTTACCATATTCTGTCCATAATATGAATGCATGTTTTCTCATTTTATTTCATTGATGTGTCCTATATTAGATGGCAGGGTTTTTCTTAGTAGTCCACAAAGCAGTGGTTTTAGATTTGACAAAATACGGGAATGCAATATTTGGAATATGCTTTTGAGTGTTAGAAATGCCTAGCACATATATCTGCTTGGCCATAAGGGCCATGTAGGTATCTACTCTGAGGTAAGTGACCAGCCTAACCAAACGTCACTCCATGTCGGAATTGAGCTTGGCTTGCATCTGAACTCTCTGGTAAGATCGTCTGTGATAGTCAGGATGAATATTTTCCTCAGAGTGGTATTTGATGCGGTCTAAGCTACATATTCTCTATGTATAAATTTGGAAATACAAACTGCAGGACAGAATCTCAGTGTCTGATTTAGAATGATTGGTTCGAGATGATGTCTGAGCCAGAGAATCAGACATGTCTGCTCTCCTCCAAGGAATTGGCCCTGCTCCCTTTATCCAGGTGCACCGAATGCCAGGTGTGTGTCCCCAGGTATTCCCATCTAGCAACCTTGGAATGCTTGAAGTGTCAGATAAAACCCCTCCAGGAATGGACTCATTTTTCACCTGATAACCAGTTGCTTTTTAAAATTGACCTCTGTTTCCTTGGGCGGTCAGCTGAGCACTCTGGTGAGGTTATGCCCACCAGGCAGGTGAAACATCCAGGCTATGTTTTTGCCCCTGCAATAGACTAAACATCTTAGTCACGCTCTGTGTTCATTAAGACACGAGTTCCAGTGAAGAATGTTATTCTTTGAAACGTCGTCCCTATAGTTGTACAATCTGTTTTGTAAAATATCTTCATTTTTGAAGATATATATGTTGTTATAGGACCCTAGTTTTAAAAAGTAAATTATACTTACCCAGAGCTAAAAACAAATTAAGATGGATCCCACCGAATTGTGTACCAAAGACTTTCATAGTAAATTCTACTTGAGGGGAAAATAATGCTTTAACTGTTGAACCAAATTTGATTTCTAGAACCACTGGGAGAAGAAGGCAAGTTGAGTAGTTTATTAATCACTCGAAAACACAAAATGATGTCCCTGTGACTTTAGTTAGTGACGAGAAAACCTTGGAGACTCTCCAAGACTAGGCTCTTTAATTTAGGAGATTGTGGGAGAAGAAAAACAGAAAAAGGATATGGCTAGGAAGTCAACATGGAATGGGGGTCTAGAAAAGAAAGGTTGGGTGGGCAAAGAATGAGAAGGAATATACCTGGTGGTCCTGGTAAGGGGATGACCTGTTAGAAGCCCGGTGCCCAGTCCACACCACCATGAGGCCCCGTGCCCTCTCCTGGCCTCTCTGGTGTCCCTTGGAGACATCTACATGGAGGTGTGTTTGCTGTTATCTCTTACCCCAAGCTACAGAAACAGGGTCGAGGGGCTGCCCAATCGAGAAGGGGGTGAGCTGCTGTCCATGGCAAAGAGGCTGCTGTGTCACCAATCAGTGCTCCAAGGCAAATCAGGGAATGGCTGTCCTCTCTGCTGTGACTTTTTTTTGTAATTGTTTACTCAAACATGAGTGAGATCCACTTCTAACCCACAAGAGATTCCTAAAGTTGTCTCGGCCACAGATGGCAAATTTCTTTACTCACTCACCCACTCGGCAATGACCAATCACACGCTCCTGAGCATACTCCAGCTTCCCACCATCTGGGAATGAAGTCCAAACTCCTGACCATTGTTCACTGAATCTTTTTTATTATTTTTAAAGATGTGGGGTACAATTTGGGATTAGGTATACAGGCAGTCACTGTACAGGTAAAGTTTGGGGCTCCCTTTGGTCCCCACTTTACCTGGTTTGATGTCTGGTACCTTTATTGATGTTATGTGCCCTCCCCCGCCCCAGACCCCCGACCCTGGCAGTGTCCCACTACTGCCAATCCCTTTTTTTCTTTTTTTTTTTTTTGAGTTGGAGTCTCACTCTTGTCGTCCAGGCTGGAGTTCAGTGGCACGATCCCGGCCACCGCAGCCTCGACCTGCTGGGCTCAAGCGATCCTTCCTCCTCAGCCTTCCAAGTAACTGGAACTACAGATGCATGCCATCACGCCCAGCTAGTTTTTGTGATTTATTGTAGAGATGAAGTCTCACCAAGTTGCCCAGACTGGTCTTGAACCTCCGGGCTCAGGCACTCCTCTCGCCTCGGCCTCCCAAAGTGCTGAGATTACAGACTGTGCTACGGTGCCTGGCCGCCAATCCCTTTCTTACAGTATTATCTGCTGTGATTCTTAAGAGCAGTCTCTGATGCCTGTTCTCCTGTGCCCAACACACTGGGTGAGCCTTGCTGGCTGGGGGAATAGGTAAGCCTTTCAGCTCTCACTCAGACAGATGGCCAGTAGATGGATGGGTGACTCGACTACCCAGGAAAGAAATGATCAAACACGTGAGCTTTGGAGGTTCCCTGAAGAATCCATCGTTGTACATGCTGGCGTCCACGGTACTCCTGTACGATGAGCTGTGGTGGTCTCACCTTGCCAGTAGAAATAGAAGTGTCAGATTACGTACCCAGCAACACTCCAGAGTTCCTAAAATTCCCTCAGTCTGAGGTTGAGCTTCGGGCACTAGGTCTTTTTACCGACAGTTATGTAATGACTAAAATATTTTGAAATATGAATTTGAACTGGAAGTGGGAAAGAGAGAGGGGAAATATGGACATAGATGAAACAAAAGAGCATTTCCACATTTTTTAACGAACCAAGAGACACATGTGACCAGCCCAGTAGAACAGTGTTATACAATGACCCTTCTATTCATGGCGAGGAGATACAGCCATGGTCCACACAAGGCACTTTGTGGAGGATCCACACTCGTAGGAGGCTTTGGGGCACATTGTACTAGACAGTTCTCCTCTCCATGAGGCATCAGTGTCATCTTTGTACCTGGACACAATTCTAGGATCTTTGTGAGTCCTTGGGAATCGCATCTCTAAACATATGCACCATGTTCTCATACACGTTAATTGTTAGCAGTTGTGCTTGATACAGCCTGGGAGCAGGGACCCCCAAAGCAATTGCGTTGATTTAATTGTTGGCATGAAATATGGCTGTGTTCACAACAGCAGCGACCACCTAAGCTGAGAAGACTCCAGCCTCTCTTGTGTTGCTTTCCCCCTAGTGATATCGAGATTTCAAGAGGCCAGACTCCAAAAGCTGTGGATGTTCTTGCCAAGGAGATAGGATTGCTTGCAGATGAAATTGAAATCTACGGCAAGAGCAAGGCCAAAGTACGTTTGTCCCTGCTTGAAAGGTTAAAGGATCAAGCAGATGGAAAATACGTCTTAGTCGCTGGGTAAGACGACATTTAAAATCTACTTTACTAAGGAGACATGTTTATAAAACCTGTCCTATTTATCTCATACCCCTCGAGTCCACCCTATTCTCAATTTTGACATTATTTTTGTCCATTTCATTTGGTGCCCCTACTTTTGGCATGAGGTAAGTTTTTATATTCAGTGCAGAGCAAAGTAGTCTCCTCTAAAAAATATAAAGTAAACAAGTTACAGGACTTTATCTTTTGTTTCTCAGATTGTGTTGTGATGGATCCCGCTCTCCCTTGCCTTTTTAATTTAGTTTTTCATGACAAAATTCAAATTAAGAATTGAAAGTACAATATTTTGAACTGAGCAGATTTTGTGTGTGTGTTCCACTTAGAAATCATATTTTAATGGAACATGTACAGTTGTATGAAACTTACGTTTTCCTATTAACATCCTTGAGATTTCTTATTTCTGTATTCACATTTCAAATTCATTCTGTTGTCTCGTTATTTCTCTTTTCTTGAATTTCAAAACTGGACCATTTTTATTTCTGTTGATTATTTTATGAGACGAATTTTAATTTCAGAGGGCCTTATGGAGGAAAAAAGACAAATTTGTGAAAAGAGGAGTTTGTTTTTTTTTCCTGCTCTTTTTGAAAACAGAAATATACTTACTAGCTGAAAGAAGTGATAGCAAGGGATTTCAAATATTTATCCAAATTGACCTGAGGGAACATCAAGAGACCGTATACGTTCCTTTGTTGTCTGGAAATTTCATTACAGTGACTATTGCTTATGATCTATAGGCCAAGGCTTGAGGTGCAAAAACTCATTTGTTAGGAAGAGACATTTCTTGTAAGGACTTGACTCCCAGTAAACTTTGTTTTTACATACTTAATTATTAATGTAAGAGCTTTTTTCTTTATTTCTTTTTCTGCTTATAAAATAATGTAGTCTCAGTGTAGAAATATTCCCCAAATACAGAAAATATAAATAAGAAAGTAAAACATCCCGAATCCTAGCAACTGGAAGGAAACAGCTGTTAACATTTTAAGATGGTCTTGACACTGCTAGTCTTTCATCAATAAGATCATACTGGAACTATGAAACTTGACTGTTCAGCCATGTATTGTGTACCTAGTGCCATGTGAGTGAATATTAAGCTGTTACTCTTTCTTTTCTGAATTGGCATCTCACTCTGTCACCCAGGCTGGAGTTCAGTGGCACAATCACAGCTCACCTGGGCTCGGAAGATCCTTCCGCCTCAACCTCCCAAGTAGCTGGGCCTACAGGTGTGCACCATCATGCCTGGCTAATTTTTAAATTTTTTTTGTAGAGACCAGGTCTTGCATGTTGCCCAGGCTGATCTCAAACTCCTGGGTTTAAGCAATCCTCCTGCCTCAGCCTCCCAAAGTGTTGGCATTACAGGCGTGAGCCACCAAGCCTGGCCATGTTACCATTTTTCATGACAATGCTCACATCTCAGATTCTTAAACATATTGGGGAAGGGGAGGCCAGGGCAGGGGGTACCAAAAATCCCCAGGGTGAGGGAGGATTTCATTTTACACTTCTAGCACCTCTCTAGTTACATGGAGAGCCTCTGCTCTGGCCCAGCCACTGATAGTACATCGTGTTTCTCTTTGTTCAGGTGTATTGATGCAGAAAAATGATTTGAAACTATAACTGGGAAGTTCCGTAACTATTTAACCAATTCTCTAATGATGAGACATTAAATTGTTTCCAGTTTTTGCCTTTATAAACAGTGCTGAAATTAACAACCTTGGGCATGTGTGTTTGCTCATCTAATTATCTTCTTAGGAAAAATCCCTGGAGGCGAATTTAATGATTTATAAAGCAAAATATCATCTAATAGTACAATCACCTTTTCAAGGGTGTAGTAATTTCTTCATATCCCTTTTTCCTCTCCACCTCCCTCCCCTGCCCCCAACCTCCTTTCTCCTTCTCCTTCTGCTAGTTTGTTGTGAGGGATGGACAGCCAGGGTCTCTCTCATAGTCCCTCGGCGAGTCCCTCGGCAACTGCGCTTTAAGGAATTCATACTCTTCTGCAGCATCTCAGTTGCCTGTGACTTAAACCTTCTACCTCAGGCTTCCAGGCTCACTGCAGTAGGACTCCCACATCCCCTTCCCACCTTGGACCCCAACCTGAAAGTCTCCTAATTGAGCTGAGGGAAAATTCCTTCCTGAGGGTAGAGGTTTGCCCTACCTGCAGGCACCCTCTGGGCCGGACCCTTGGAAGGACCTGGCTGTCTGGTTAGACCTGGCTCTGGGGTCTCTGAGTTTAGAGCACATGACTAGTCAGAGTTGTTTTTATCGGTGCATTCTTTTTTTTTTTTTTTTGAGTCAGGATCTCACTCTGTCGCCCAGGGCTGGAGTGCAGTGGCATGATCAGGTCTTACCACAGCCTTGACTTCCTGGACCCCGGCGATCCTTCTGCCTTGACCTCCTTGATTAGCTGGGGCTATAGGTACACACCACTACTCCCGGCTAAATTTTTGATTTTTTTTGTAGAGATGAGGTCTGGCTGTATTGCCCAGGTTGGTCTTGAGCTCAATCAATCCTCCTACCTTGGCCTTCCAAAATGCTAGGATTACAGGCATGAACCACCGTGCCCAGCCCAGAAGATGCTTGTTACATGGGTTTTCTCTGTTGTTGTTTTTTGGGTTTTTTTTGGTGACAAGAGTCTCATTCTATCACCCAGGCTGGAGTGCATTGGCATTCTTACAGCCACTGCAGCTGCCACCTGCTGAACTCAAGTGATCATTCCGCCTCAGCATTCCAAGTAGCTGAAACTACAGGGGTGAGCTACCACGCCCATCTTATTTATTTATTTTTGATTTAATGTAGAGACAAGGTCTCAACAAGTTGCCCAGGCTGGTCTTGAACCCCTGCGCTCAGGCAATCCTCTCTCAGCCTCCCAAAGTGCTGGGATTACAGGATTGAGCCACCATACCCGGCCTAACACATGTTTATTTGCAATAAAAAAAAACAAACTCTTGGACACTGAGAAGTTTAAAAGCATCTTATCCAAAGAATTGATTCCCTTTTTCTTTAGGCTTTAGGTGGTCTTGGCAGGTAGATTTACGGGTTTTCTTACCCTCTTCAGACTGAAGGATTTAGGAAGACGTAAGAGGATGTGTTCTCAGGTTACAAAGGAAGAATTATGTGGCAGTTTTTCTTATGGAGAGGCTGTGATTTTCTCCATTTTGGCCTTGTCAGTAAAAACATAAATGTAGATACAGCCCATCCTGTACCTGGAAACACAGAATTGATACTTCTTTTTTTTTTCCCCTTTGAGTTAGAATCTCATTCTGTTGCCCAGGCTGGAGTGTGGTAGCATGCTTATGGCCACTGTAGCCTCTACCTGCTGGGCTCAAGTGATCCTTTCGCCTCAGCTTTCCAAGTAGCTGGAACTACAGGCATGCGCCACCACACCCAGCTTATTTTTTTATTTATTGTAGAGACAAGACCTTGCTATGTTACCCAGGCTGGTCTCAAACCCCTGGGTTCAGGTAATTCTCTTGCTTCATAATTACTGGCCAGAATTGATACTTCTAAAACAAAAGCAATGATAATATGGTTATCAAGTTTCTAAGTTGTGATCAAACTGTCAAAACCTGACCTCCAGCTACATACTTGAGAAAGCTAGTTAGCATGCCTGTCTGGGGTTACAGCTAATGTTGGTCATACCCAGTAGAACATTGCTCCACTCTAGCTCTTTGTTGGTGTTGATGTGTACCTGAGCCGAGGTTAGCTTGCCATGTTGTAAATAGAGATGAAGATTAAGCCAGATGTGGAGGCTCACGCCTGTAATCCCAGCACTTTGGGAGGTAGAGGTGAGAGGATTTCCTGAGTCCAGGGGTTCCAGACCAGCCTGGGCAACTTGGCGAGACCTCGTCTCTACAATAAATTTAAAAAATTAGCCAGGCATAGTGGTGAGTGCCTGTGGTTCTAGCTACTTGGAAAGCTGAGGTGAAAGGATCATCTGAGCCCAGCAGGCCGAGGCTGCAGTGACCGTGAGCGTGCCACTGCACTGTAGCCTGGGCAACACAGCAAGACTCCTACTCAAAAAAAAAAAAAGGAGAAATGAAGATTATACTTGTATTCTCAAGTAAAATTTAATACCAAGAGAGCAACAGTTCTTTTTCTGAAATTTTGGTATAAGTTCCTTTACCTAGCAAAGACCGTTGAAGGAACAAAAATTAAATGGTGGGTTGTTTTAACTGGAAAGAAACAGGATACAATTATTTTAAACACATACACACACCTATCTGTAGCAGAGCTAAGATTATTAGGAAATATGTCGATTTTTAGGAAATATCTTCACTGGATTCCATAAGAGAAAAATAAACAGCCCTCCATCCCCAACACAGTTTCTAGTGCTTTAACAGCTGAAAGACTGATACCAGTTTAGGACATGGACAAGTATTTTGTCTGTAATAAAGTAGGCCAGGCATGGTTGCTTACACTTGTAATCTCAGCTACTCAGGAGGCTAAAATAAATGGATTACTTGAGGCCAGGAGTTTGAGACCAACCTGGGTAGCACAAGAAGACCTATGTCTCTAAAAAATGAAAACAAAAAAACACAAAAAAGCACTGAGTTAAAACAACATTTATAATCTAAAGTAAAAAGCCAATTTGAAATAAAAATCACCTTCATATTCACTTTTTTTTTTTTTTTGCAATGACGGCTTCTCACTATGTTGCCTAAGCTGGTCTTGAACTCCTGGGCTCAAACAATCCTCCTGCCTCAGCCTCCCAAAGTATTGGCATTACAGGCGTGAGCCACCACACCCAGCTTCATATGTCACTTTGATCAGATCACAAGTTAGGGGAAAATGACATTATCAAACCATTATATACACTGTTGCAACTTTTAAAATATAAGTAACCCTGCCATTAAATGAAGAATTATGTCCTCTTTCTGAAAGGCTTTTTTATTCTGAAAGTGGCATTCGCTTATTATTTTTTAAAAAATTAACAGAAAAAAAGTAAAAAGCAACAGAAAACTCATTACTCAGAACTGTTATCAGTCTTTATATTTTCTTCCTTATCTATTCCTTCATCCTTTTTACACACTGAGATCATGCTATAATTGCCATTTTAATTTTTTTTTTCATGCTTTGGAAATGCCCAAGCAATTTTTCAGTGAAGCTATAAACGATATATTTGTTATGATACTTTTAAGTTTATTTATACGTTTGATTTAAATATATCAACAATGGGATTAAAATACAAAACAATGAGATCTTTAAAAATCTTCCATTATTAATAATCCAAGGGCAGAGCACATTAATTCTTTTCTAAGAAGCCATTCTTCCAACTGTAGGATTTCTTGTTCTGTCAGGCTCATCTGTATTTCATCAACTCCACATCGCATAGTATTTACACCTACACATCGCTTTATTTGCTTTGCCTGACAAAATGAAAAGTATTGGGAATTGTTCAGGGAAATATGCCAAAGGAATCTTAGAGACTTTTGAGTTTTACATATTTTCCCAGTTACACTAATGAAAAGGAATTTTGTTTGAGAACTTGACGCGGAGTGCAGCTGCAGGGCATTTGAGTCTCGGTCTCCACCGGGCCTTTGCTGATTTCTGTGCAGAAGTTTCTAGAACTCTGAATTACTTGGACAGAGCAACTAAAAAAGAAGCTCAGACTGATCTGCGAATAGATGGAATTTCACACTAAAGAAAAATTAAAACCATTCATGTTGCTTCATCTTTTTTTTTTCTTAAGAGTGTCAAAATACCTGATTTGATTTTTTTTGTTTGTTTCAACCCATTATTATGGCACAAAGTAAAAGTAATCTTTACTGACTTTTCTAAGATTGTGCCTTTCTGTCTTGAGTAACTTTTTTTTTTTGAGTTGGAGTCTCACTCTGTCACCCAGACTGGAGTGCAGTGACCACTCCTGGCCACCGCAGCCTCGACCTGTTGGGCTCCGGTGATCCTTCCGCTTCAGCCTTCCAAGTAGCTGGAACTACAGGCGCGTGCTACCACACCTGGCTAATTTTTGATTTATTATAGAGATGAGGGCTCGCCAAGTTGCCCAGGCGGGTCTCGAACCCGCGGGCTCAGGCATTTCACTCACCTCAGCCTCCCAAAGACGTGGGATTACAGGCTGAGCCACCGAGCCCGGCTGAGTAACTCTCAATATCTGTGAGCTTTTCTTTTATTTGTACTAATTAAAAGAACCCTTTTCCAACAGGGCCTTTGAATTATTTACCTCAGTTGAGTGTAAGGAGAAACACAACCAATGATCTGTTTGTTAGATAAGAAAAAGCTTTACAAAACCTTTGAAATCCTACAGGTGACTGGGATGAATAACACATGTTTATATTCCATTTGAGCTTAGTTAGGCCCATGACTAATGGCGATACTCTTGTTCACCAGGATTCTGAATTTTGCAAATGGCTCAGAGCTTTATCATTCTCTCTGTGTAAACAATCTTTCTGACCTTTGAGTAAATGATAAGCTTCTTTCAGATTGTGACCAAATTGTCACAGGGTACTCTGGCACATGGTACTGTAGTTGACAATAAAGAATATTCATCTCAGAAAAAATTAAGATTATTCCATCGTCCACCATTTCGTTAACTCGTCTGCCTGAGCTGGTGGATAGGAATGCAGGGGGAGGGGGCATTGGCTCTTACTGCAGCAAGAGTGTGGGCTGGTAGGCAAGAAAGGCATGTAGAAAGCTTATAATAAGTCACCTGAGGCCAGGCGTGGTGGTGCGCACTTGTAGTCCCAGCTACTCAGGAGCCTGGGGCAGAAGGATCACCTGAGCCCAGAAGTTAGAGGCTGTGGTGAGCCGTGATTGTGCCCCTGCACTCCAGCCTGGGTGACAGCGTGAGACTCTGACTCAGAACAGCCATCTGAAAAAGTATATATGAATCGTGTGATAAATGTTCTGAGGACACACATAAATCTGCCAGGAGAAGTTGAGGAAGGCAATCACGGTTTCATCTCATGAACACTAAGCTCTTAGAGAAAAAGAAATGAAATGAACTTGGCTTGTTCTTTTCTAAGTCAACTTGATGATGTAGAATCCGAGCTAAGATACTGGGGAAAAATTAAACCAAATCTTGACACCAAGTGCAGGAACGAGGTGAAATAAATTTTTGCCTGTTGCTCTCTTTTTATTGCTCCCAATAAATACTTCCTCCTTCTGAGTCTCCTGAATTGTACTCGTTGGCAGCCAGCTGAGCGGCCCTGTGTTTCTAATTAAGAATTGGGGTTAGCTGAAGTTCTGAGGAGGTCATTTCTGGGCGTGTCTGGTTTTGGCTGTCCCTGGCAGCTAAGCTATCATAACCTTGGGAATGAAATTGTAATCCTTCATGTGACACCATTTAAGTAAACCACTTAGTCCTTTGCAAATACCACATACTCAGTACGGTACTTAAACCACACTGTGTTTGACAGTACTTTTTTTTTTTAGGCGGTTCTAAGACCGCGATGCCTGTGGGCTTCTAACTGCCTTTATTCACATTTTATCCACGAAAATTGAAAATTGACTCAAAGTCTAAGTGCCTCTGAGTAATTGTGATTTTTTTTTTTTTTTTGAGTTGGGGATCTCACTCTGTTGCTCAGGCTAGAGTGTAGTATCTCACTGCAACCTCGACCTCCTGGGCTCAGGTGATCCTTCTGCCTCAGCCTTCCAAGGGGCATGTGCCACCACCCCCAGCAACAGTAAGACCCTGACTCAAAAAAAAAATGTAATGTTGGTTACACTTTGCTAAAATTATATGAGGTCTTACTTGGGAACGTAATAGACTCCCTTCCTATTCTTTAACACTGTGATGTTCCGAACATGTGAGTATTTGGTTATGTAGTGTGTCATCATCAACAGTCAGCTTCTCCAGAGCAGAGATTACCTCCGTGGCATGCACAGGGTTTGGGGCTTTCCAAATCTTTGAAGGGCCCTTGTGTGGAAAGGGATTAGGCTTAGTGTGTAGGACTCCAAGAGACAGGAAGCAACAGGGATGCTGATGTCTTCTCTTGAGAACAGGGGATTTTCTCACTGTAACAGCTGTCAGAAAATGAGTGGGCCACCTGAGGTAATGAGCGCCTATCACTGCCTGTGTTAAGCATGGCAAGGACCAGCCCTGGGCGAGGCTATCTGGAAGGGGTTGGACACATGGGAACTTTAGGGTCTCTTCTAACCGTGAGAGTCTGCTCATGGCTCCGTCACCCAGGGACTATTGAAATGGGCCTGGTGCACACACCACGCCCCCAACGAATGCCATAGGAAGAACGAGTGCCAATTTACTCATTGGCAAAAAACACAGTTTAATTATTTAAACCATTTTTGACGGATGATGTCATGTCGTTTCTTGAAATTGATAGTTACTAGCACCACTGCCTGATACTTTATTTCTGTCTCTCACTCTTCCTTCCTTCCTTCCTTCCTTTTGAGGTGGGATCTCACTCTGTTGCCCAGGCTGGAGTGCAGTGGCACAATCATGACTCACTGCAACCTTGACCTCCTACCTCAGCTTCCTGAGTAGCTAGGACTATAGGCAGGTACCACCGCGCCCAGCTAATTTTAAAATTTCTTGTAGAGATGAGATCTTGCTATGTTGTCCAGGCTGGTCTCAAACTCCTGGCTCAAGTGATCCTCTTTCCTGGGCCTCCCAAAGTGCTGGGGATTAAGCCACTGCGCCTTACTTAATTTTTTCCTTTTTGGTCTCTTGGTAAATGTCTATCTTGACTTTAGCTTACGCCTGGCCTATGTGATATGTGTAGACCATCGCAGTCCTAGAAAATTAAATTATTAGCTAGGCGCAGTGGCTCACACCCGTAATCCCAGCACTTTGGGAGGCGAAGGTGAGAGGATTGCCTGAGCCTGGGGGTTCAAGACCAGCCTGGGCAACTTGACGAGACCTCGTCTCTATAATAAATCTAAAATTAGCCTGACATGGTGGCGCACACCTGTGGTTCCAGCTGAGATAGAAGGATCGCCTGAGCCCAGCAGGTCAAGGCTGCGGTGGCCATGAACATGCCACCGCACCCCATCCTGGGTAACAGAGTGAGAATCCTACTAAAAAAGAAAAAAATTAATTATTGAGAGAATTGTGGAATGATCTATTTTCTACAACAGCCTCTGATTTGATTCTGGTGTCTTAGGCCAGTTTTGCTAAGATTATCCGGGCAATATTAATAACTTCACTTCCCTTCCCCACCTCCTCCAGTATCACGCCCACCCCTCTTGGAGAAGGAAAGAGCACGGTTACGATCGGGCTTGTGCAGGCCCTGACCGCACACCTGAATGTCAACTCCTTCGCCTGTCTGAGGCAACCTTCCCAAGGACCGACCTTTGGAGTGAAAGGTACTGTCTCTAACAGCGAGTGCATTTGGGCGGCAAATTTTGGGAAGAAAATGTTTAAAAAGAGCACTATCCACAATAGGGAACGTTAAGTCTTTTCCAAGAAACTGGCATGTTTCATCACTGCATACTCAGTACATACTGGTCACCCCACGTTGGTCCCCCTGGGCAGGAAGTCGAGCAGAAGCAGCCGCAGGGGATTCTGGGGAGTCCTTGGAAAGCCCCTTACATGGCTCTGATGCTCAGGCTCCCGCTTCAGTTGTCTGTTTCATCAATGCCTTCTTTGCCAAGCGATCTTGAAACTCTGCTGGCTGCAGTGGAGTTTTATCATCCCAGCCTGGTGAAAGGTCTTTCCCTCTGAAGTTAAGACCCCTTATGCTCAGCTCATTGGACTTGCCGGATGGAGCCCGAGGTGTTCGCTGGAGACATACTGGCCAGGGACAGAGCTGTGATGCAATTCCTCTTTGACTGTGCTTGGGCTAATGTCTGGCACCTTCCCTTCCATTTCTCTTTCTTCCTTGATTTATCATGAAATCATCCTTTAGCTCACTTTACAATAGCATTTATTGCTGCGATTACTGCTTGTTCTTGGCCCTTTGCGGTTTTTAACAGCATTATGTTTATATTACTGTTAGAATATTAATAACTCTTATCACATTAAGTTCTTATAATTCATAGAGTGTCATCATATAGTGGAATGAACGTTAGACTTGGAGCGAGAAGGCCGAGTTTTTATTCACCCCTGTGTCTCTTACTGCTCTGTGACCTTTAGCCAGGCATAACCTCTCTGAGCTGCATCTGTAAAAGAGTGAAATGACTGAGAGTGCCAGGCTCACTGGGTTATTGTGAGGATCAAATGAGAAAGTATATAGATAACCAAGTACATGGTAAAATGACACACCTGTGAATGGTATCGCTATTGCTTTAGGAAACAGAAGTCTTTTATTTTTATTTTTGAGTTGGAGTCTCACTCTGTCTCCCAGGCTAGAGTGTAGTGGCATGCTCACGGCCACCGAAGCCTTGACCTGCTGGGCTCAGGCGATCCTTCCACCTCAGCCTTCCAAGTAGCAGAAACTACAGGCACATGCCACCATGCCAGGATAATTCTTTGATTTATTGTAGAGATGAGGCCTCGCAAAGTTGCCCAGGATGGTTGCGAACCCCTGGACTCAGGCAGTTCTCTCACTTTGGCTTCCAAAAGTGCTGGGATTGTAGGCGTGAGCCACCACGCCCAGCCTGAGAAGTTTTTAAAATATAATAACTAACTTTCTGAGTGGTAAGCAACATGACAAATCTTGCATACTATTTATCTGAAATCAATGGACTGAAGTTTATAATTTGTTATCGGGTGGTTATCGGATAGATTTTTAAAACAGTTTTCTGATATATCAGTTCAAATATGATGATAGAGAGGAAGCATAGTCACATAGATCTAATAATAAATTAACAGTAAATATTCTCATATCCTGGTATATATTATAGTAATGACATCTGCAATATTGTTTTTAACCTTTGCTTTTTCAAACGAAGAAACAGAACTTTTTTTTTTTTTTTCAATTTTTTTTTACTTGGGATCTGACACTGTTGCCCAGGCTAGGGTGCAGGGATGCAGTCAATTATGGCTCGACATGGCCTCAAGCTCTTGAGCTCAGGTGATCCTTCTACCTCAGCCTCCTGAGTAGCTGTGACTATAGGTGCGCGCTACAATGTTTGACTCATTTTGGTTTTTTTTTGAGTTGGAGTCTCACTCTGTCGCCCAGGCTGGAGTGCAGTGGCAAGCTCATGGCCACCCCAGTATCGACCTGCTGGACGCAGGCGATCCTTCTGCCTCAGCCTTCCAAGTAGCCAGAACTACAGGCACACGCTACCATACCTGGCTAATTTTTTGATTTATTGTAGAGATGAGGTCTCACCAAGTTGCCCAGGCTGTTCTCGAACCCATGGGCTCAGGCAATTCCCTCACCTCGGCCTCCCAAAGTACTGGAATACAGACTTGAGCCACCTGGCCCTGGCTCATTTTTTTAAAAAGTTTTTGTAGAGATAAGGTCTTGCTATGTTGCCTAGGCTGGTCTTAAACTTTTGGGTTCAAGCAGTTCTCCCACCTTGGTCTCACAAAGTACTGGGATTATAAGTGTGAGCCACTGGGCTTGACCTGAAACTCTTTAAACAGCATAGTTGGACACAGCCTGAACTTTTCTGTTACTTTTGTTCTGCTTGGACAGAATAGCTAATGTTTTTCACTGCCTGTTGTGATGTCATCTTGGGTGTCGATGCCTCCCTATTGGGTTTGGAGAGCTGTGTTCCTAGAACTGTGTCTATCCTGGGTAGCTACACTTGGTGACTGATTTCAAATGCATCTTATTCTGCTTTTAGGAGGAGCTGCGGGTGGTGGATATGCTCAGGTCATCCCCATGGAGGAGGTAAGACCATGAAGAGATGCCTGCCAAGTGTCACTGTGTTTCCCTCCTGACATACAAGATACACAGGCCCACAGCCATCATCCACAATCCCAAGGTCCTCAAGGGTCTGACAACCAAAACTTTCTGTATAACTCATGTGGTTGTGAAAGCGGACATTGACTATTACGGGCTACGTATGGATTTTGTCTGTGCCATTCTATATGAATATTGGAATATATTACTGTAGAAAATTATTTTTGATGAATGGGTACTGACCTATCCCCTACTTGGTATCTTATAAATAAATGGTACAAGGGGAGATTCCCCCCAAAAATCCAGATTTATTTTTTGGACAGTGGGCCCCTTTTAGTACAGGCTTCCCCCATTAGGTAAATATTCTAGGAACCCATCGGTGTCAGTGTATCAGCTGGCGTTGTTGTGGGAGGTTATGTTAGGCTTCAGTGAACTGGGGGGTGGGGGGATTCTATCAATGTGCCCATTTCATGATGGATAATTTACGAATGCACCTGCCCATGCTGTACTGAGTGTTTAGCAGTTTTTGACCAAAGGTGGCATAACCCACGTGCCTCACCCTCCTTATTCACCCAGTCTCTCCCCAAGTGACTTTTGTTTTGTTTTGCTGGATGAAAAAAGTCCTGAAAGGGAAAAGTTTTGCTGAAGTGGAAGAGGTGAAAGAAAAATCGGCACAAGCACTAAAAGTTATCCAAAATATGAGTTCAAAAACTGTTTTGAGCAGTAGAAAACGTATCTGGGTAGGTGTATTGCATCAAACAGAGAGTACTTTATTTTTTATTTTATTTATTTATTTTTTTGAGTCAGAGTCTCACTCTGTCACCCAGGCTAGAGGGCAGTGGCACGCTCCCAACCACCGCAGCCTCAACCTGCTGGGCTCCAGCGATCCTTCTGCCTCCGCCTTCCAAGTAGCTAGAATTATAGGCGTGCACTACCACGCCTGGCTAGTTTTTGATTTATTATAGAGACAAGGTCTCACCAAATTACCCGGGCGGGTCTCGAACCCGTGAGCTCAGGCAATCCTCTTTCCTCGGCCTCCCAAAGTGCTGGGATTACAGGCTGAGCCACCGAGCCCAACCGGAGAGTACTGAAGTTTAAACATGTAAAAATAAATACACAATTTTTTATAAATAAATTCTGTGTTTGGCGGTCCTCCCCTCCATGTACATCACACTACCTTTCTAAATTTCAAACAATTCTGAATCCTAAAACCTAAAATCTGGCCTGGAGTGTTCTGGATAGGAGAATATACTCCCAGATCTCCATCAGTCCCAATAGCAGGAAGACTTGGAGGCTTCACATCTGTTAACCAAGACTCCAAAATAAAATTGTTCCAAAGGAACATCAGCCCTAAAGACTGATGGTGTTCGTTTAGACTTCTCCAGGGTTCTTCTACATTCTGCATGACCTCTCTACATCCCCTGTGTCTAACCAGTGAACAACAGTTCTCTTCATTTCTCTCTGCATCAGCCTCATAGTTTAGGCCCTCACAATCTCCCTAAGCCCAAGTCCGAGCCAGTCCCTTTCCTGTTTTGTAATTTCTGTAGTCATCTGTCATTGCAGCACACTCCGGGAGTCCTCACAGGCTGCTCCTGCCCCGTTGTCTGCAGGTCCCCACCTGTGTCTCTCTCTCTACTGTATCAAGCTTCTAGCTCCTACCTCTTGTTCTCTCTTGGGTCCAGGATGTGTCCTGTGCCTGGAACATTCTTCCCTTCCTTGTTTTCCCTCTCTCGCCAGCTTGGGGGCCGTTCGTGAGTTCGGCTCCACTGGCAGCTTCCCCCAATCCTGTGTGTGTATGGTAATTTGATTCAGTCAACTGTGAGGAGTTGCAGGCCTTTCTCGAGGCCTCAACAAAGCATGTAGTGGAGTGTCCAGCCCATCATAGGTCCTCACTAAGAGATATTTGTTGATTTTGTTGAAGGGATAGGAGAAGTGTTTACCCGTGTAGGCCTGAGAGTCAGGGAAGCTGAAGAGAAAATACAATAAACCTCAAGTATGGGGTAAGAAAGAGTAGTTCAAGGCCTTGCTGAGAATAATAGCCCCAAGCCTCATGTCTGAATGGGGACGAGTGACATCCTCGAGCCAGGAGGCCGATTTGGAGCTAGGGAACAAGGAACATGCCCAGGGAAAGACTCCAGATTCAGTCAGTAAATATTGTGGAAGGACGTGGGCGTCCTGCTGTTTTAGAGCATCAGCTGCTTGGTTCAGAGGAGGGGGCTGCCCCATGATAGTCAAGGGGGCCAACACTCAGTCAAGTCTGTTCCCTGAAGCTGAGCACCTCTGGTACCTTCTTCTCCTGCGTCCCCAGCTCTGAGCACCTTGCCTGATGCTTAATGGATGTCTTTGCCTGCATGCCAGGCACAGACAATGTGTACTGGAAGATACTTAATAAATAACCATATGGGAGCGTGTTAGGATAAATTCCAGATGGACAGAGGAATGGAAAGTGAAAATACTAGAGTTGCAGGGTGAGAGGGAGCTAGCCTTCTGAAGAACGATGGGGGAAACATTCCAGGCGGTAGGAACAACTGGTGGGAAAGCCCTGAGACAGGAAAGGGCGTGGCATCTTCAGGAACTGGAGGACACCAGGGTGGCTGGGAGGCAGGGTAGGACTGGGGGGAGAGCAGAGGGAGATGAGATAGAGAAGAGGCCAGCACCGACTCTTGGAGAGCAATTTATAGCCACGAGGCTGGATTTTACTTGAAATGCCACAAGATAATAAAATGATGTGATTTGGGTTTTATAAAACTCACTCTGGCTTCTTTGTGAAGAAGAGGCCAAGAGGGCCTCCAGTTGATGGAGAGTCCAGTAAGAAGACCATAGAAGTAGCTCAGGGGAAAGATAGTAGCAACGGGGCCCAAGATGGTGGCAGTGAGGATGCAAAAGACAGTGACCCTTTAAGATGTATTTGCTCTTCTTTGTAGGGTTAGAGACTGGTTGTGAGACAAGGAGAGGATTCAAGGATGCCAGCTAGGGTACTCACTTGAGCAACTCAACAGACTCATCCAGTGAAATGGAGGACTGAGGGAGGGAAGGGAGTGAGGTTGGAACTGTGTGATGAGGGCTGTTGTGGAGGGCAGCGGTCAGGAAGGAGAAAGCCCTCTACAGGGCATCAAGCATCCATGTAGACCTCAGGGAGACAGCGGGAAAGAAAAACAGACATCCAGCTTGTAATCCCAGCACTTTGGGAGGCTGAGGTTCAAGATCAGCCTCGGCAACATGGCGAGGCCTAGTCTCTACAGTAAATTTAAAAAAAAAAAGTGACTGGACTCGGTGGCTCTGCCTGTAATCTCGCGCTTTGCGAGGCTGAAGTGAGTGAATTGCCTGAGCCTGAGGGTTCGAGACCCGCCTGGGCAACTTGATGAGACCTCGTTTCTACAACAAATAAAAAAAATTAGCTGGATGTAGTAGCACGCGCCTGTAGTTTCAGCTACTTGGAAGGCTGAGGCGGAAAGATCGCCGGAGCCCAGCAGGTCGAGACTGCGGTGGCCGGGAGCGGCCACTGCACTCC